GAACACTGAATATACCATAGACTGCCAGAATGAACAAATCTATCTGGGAAGAAGTATAGCCGGGATGCTCCTTAGAAGTGAGAATGGCCAGACTTCCATCTCTCATACTTTGGCCATGTTATCAGAAGGGACCTATCCCTGGAAAAGGTTATCATGCTTAGAAAAGGATCAGTGAGAAGGGAAAGACCCTCAATGAATAACACAGTTGCTGCAACAATGGGTTCAAGTGTAGCAGCCCACTGGGGATGGTGCAGGACTGGGAAGGATTCCGTTCTGCTGCACACAGGGTCACTATTAGTAGGAAGCAACTCAATGGCACCTAACAACAACATTATCATAATCCTTACTTAAAATTTGTGTTATAATTGCTTGTTTCCTTATCTTTGAAGACCAGTGTCCTATGCCACTACATCCCCATTTTTTTGGCAAATAGCAGGTTTGAATAAATGCTGATAATGGGATATAAAAAGGCTTCCACTAGAAAACTCTGCTTTCAAAATCCTACTAGAAGTAGGATTATCTGTATCATTTATGTTCCCAATACATACTTCAGTGATTATGATATGTAGGTAAGAGTACCAGGGTAAACAAGACAAAATTTCTAACATAATAGAGCTCGGTTCTATTGTGGAGGAACACGCAAATTAACTGGCATTCAGGTGGGGTCTAAAGCAGGGTTTGGAACAGGTTCATTCTGGTTCAATACCTGCTGAGAAATTGTATTTCTACCCAGACATACTTAATCAGACTCTACATTTTTCAAAATCACTTTAAAATGTAGGTTTGGATTCATATATCTGGGGTGGAAATGCAAATTCTCAGCAGGTGGTTAAACCTGAATTAACTGGTTCCAAGTGCTGTATTAAAGCCAATAGGCAGTATCTTAAGCAATAGTTAAAAATTCAAATTTGAAGTTAAGAATTTACATAGTACCTAGCATATCTTCATTTTGTAGCTCAGTTTGTTGGTTATGGCTTATTAATAACCTGATAATTTTATCTACAGCAGATCAGACACATCAGATTCATGGGACAAAAATGTTTCAAGATCAAAATGAATTTAAGAGCAGGTACTGCAGGCATAACAATGATATAAATATAATGTGATTTATTTATAAATGAGAACAAATTAACAATGAACATTATTTTAGAAGTTGAAAAAGGTGACACTAATAATATTGAGTATACAGCCTTTTATTTTCTTTAGATTCTTATTTTTGCATTTTATTTATATAAAGATGAGGAGCCAGTTTTGCAACCTAAAAATATTACTTATTAAAACTATATTAATACTTTAATAAACTGTACAAAAAGATAATGAGACAAACATGTGCATTTATAGAACTGCTTGTCAGCCATGCCAGATCCCTACAGAGGGAATTCCCAGCATGACCTCATTCATCTGTTGGAACACAGAGCAATCCTTGTTTAGACATACACATCCATCTATCTGTCCAGCACAGTCAGTCCTCCACTTCTTGATGGTTTCCTTCTGCTATGAATGTGCATGTCCAGTTGTCTGCTGCTTAGAGCAGATGTTTACCTAAAGAAAAAAAGTTATTAGTTATTAATTTGGATCATTTTGAAAATAATTCAACAATCATTAAATGTTACAAAATTTTTTCAAAAAGCATTTTAATAAAAAGAAACAGTGAATTTTTCAAGAGTTGTAAGTGCTTTTTCCAAATAATGATGTCTGAGTAAAATGTTAGATGACTTATGATTTCCTAAAGAAAACCTTCCTAATGAGGCATTTTCAAAATAAATTTTTTTTGCAAAATAATTTCAGGTTTTAAGTTACCTTCCTCATCCACCAGCCATGGGAGGAGGACTAGGGCCATGGAGATGATTGATACGGCCCATTCTTCGGGGCGGGTTTCCAGGTGGCCTAATAAAAGGAAAAGTTAATATCTACTGTTTGATAGACAATCTTCAATTGGTTCCTTTTAAACACTCATACAGACCCTTTTCTCTTTCAATACCTAAAATGTTACTTAAAACAGGAAGTACCCTTTAGATCAGAAGTCATAAATTCAAATACTTATAGGGATCAGACCCATAATGTACATGAGGAAAAAGAGTCAAACAAAGATTATGATGAACTGAATACTTCCTATAAATCAATGGGCAACTGAAACTCAGTTCTAACTGATTTTTGCAATATGGAAACACAAGCCCAGCCTAGTACTGCATGATCTTCCAAGGGTTTCATTAGCAGTCAAAAATCCAGATCTTAAAGTGAAATCTCCACATTTTAATGCTGGTCACCAGCTTTCATCCTCTAATTTAGACTTTTCCCATAGGATACCTGATACATATTTTTCTTTGCCAGATTAACTCTGATTATCACATCAGTGGCAACTTGACTTTTAATTTATAGTAACGCATTAGTTTTATGAAACAGGATTTGAATTTTTTGATTCTCATAAGACTAACTATATACAATATCTAATTTAATAAAAATATAGCACAGGGATAAAAACATCTAATATCAATTAAAAAAAAAAAAAAGCTATACCCTCTTCCATCATCATATCTAGAATCAGATGAGCTTCCATAGCCTCTTCTTTTCTTCACATCTTGCTGAAGCAGAGTTTTGAAACTGAAACAAGGGACAGAAAACAGAGAATGGAGGTATCGCTTTCAGCAACATGTTTCAACAATATGTTTTCAGGGCTTCACCTATGCCCGCCATGAGAGGATGATGAAACCCATGTTTCTGTAGCCAACTGGACGTTGCCATCTACTGCAAGCACATTTAAAACAGGATGTGCTATGTTCTGTGCCAAATTCACCCTTGTTGTCTTTCTTAGGGGGCTCTGGTGGTACAGTGCCTAAGGCATTTGACTGCTAACCAGAAGGCTGGTGGTTCAAGCCCACCAGCCACTCCTTGGCAGTAAGGCTGGGCAATCTACTTCCACAGTGATACTGCCTCAGAAACCCAAGAAGGGCAGTGGACTGGTTAGTTGCTGATTTGTCTTTCTTAAGGAGCTCTGGTGTAGTGCCTAAAGCATTTGACTGCCAACCAGAAGGCAACCGTTCAAACCCACCAGCCACTCTGTGGAAGACTGGGCAATCTATTTCCATAAAGATTTACTGGCTCAGAAACCCATGGGGGTCACTATAAGTTGGAATTGACTCGATAGCAGCAAGTTTGGTTTTTTTTTTTGGTTGTCTTTCTTATTTGATAACAACTCTCCTTGACAGAGCCTGAAATCTTAGTCATCCCCAACTTATTCCTCCACTTTAAATTAGCTGTCAGATTCTAGAGGCTGTTTTTGCAGTATTTCATATTCATCACTCCCACATCTCTCCTGCCAACATTTTACCTAATGTTACCTTAGGGAGAAAGAGGCCTACGGTGGTGTGCCAGAGGTATAGGACTTTTGGGAATCCTTTAAATAGAATTTTCCTAATTTGTGGAGGGAAAAGGATTTAACATAAAACAACATTTTTAATAAACAACATGGAATAGGTAAAATTCATAAATGATTTTAAAGAAGTTTTGTACTTCTTAGACCCTTTCTTGTCCCCTGGTATACATTTCTATAGAATTGTCTCTTCCATTTTACATTCTATGCCTTCTAATTTATGATATATGCTGTCGCCCAGTACTACCCACATCCCATAAAGACCCCATCCTCTCACCTGAAAGTCAAACTTCTTCACCATCCTTCATATACTTTCTTCCACCTGGAATAACTCCTCTCATGTCTACCTCCCACAATCAGTCTCACCCCAATGCTAAATGTATCAGGAAGATATACACTAATTACTTAAAGTCACTGAAGGAAGTCACTACTTCATCTTTGTAGACACTCAAATATATAATCAAACTTAAGATGATTTAGACGTATTAGTTGGCAGCACAACGGTTAAGTGGTAGGCTGCTAATGTAAAGACTGGTAGTTTAAACCCACCTAGCAACTTTGAGCTCTGGTAGCATAGTGCCTAAGGCACTTGACTGCTAACCAGAAGGCTGGTAGTTCAAACCCACCAGCCACTCCTCGGAAGGAAGATGAGGCAATCTACTTCCGTAGTAATACTGCCTCAGAAACCCAAGAAGGGGTCGCTATGAGTCAGGTCCGACTCGAAGGCACATAACAACAACAGCAGCAGCTTTGAGGGGGAAAGACCTGGCAATCTATTCATATCAAGATTACAGTCTAGAAAACTCTTTGGGGCAGCTCTATTGTCATGGGGCCACTATGAGCTGAAACCGACTCAACAGCACCCAATAACAGTAGTTTATGAACAATTTTCACAAAACAAGCAGCATATGAAAGACCATAAAATGCATTTAACTAAAAACTACTTGAAATTATGGACCACTTTAAATTTTTGGCTCCTGTCATTGACTCTAACCTTTGATTTAAAGAAAAGTTCACTACGTAAGAGTTTTGCAAATCTAGATATAATTCTTACCCCTTAATTTCCTTAAAACTCATTGTTGTTGTTGTTGTGTGCCATCGAGTCGGACCCGACTCATAGTGACTCCTCCTTGGGTTTCCAAGGCAGTATCACTATGGAAGTAGATTGCCTAACCTTCCTTCCGAGGAGTGGCTGGTGGGTTTGAACCACCAGCCTTTGGTTAGCAGTCAAGTGCTACCAGAGCTCCCTTAAAACCCACTGCTGCCAGTCAATTCCAACTCATGGAAACTGCACATGTTGCACATTAGAACTATGCTCCGAACAGCTGTAATTTTAAGCGAGGCTTTTCTTCCAAGGCACTGCTAGCCTTTTAGTTAGTGATCAAATGCAAACCATTTGTGTCACCCAGGTACCTTTATTTACTTGTTGTATAATATGGAATAAAAATTATACACACACAAGTCAGTGACAAAAGTAGAAAGTGAGACACAGTCATTTGACAATAGAACAGGCAAGCCTGGTTCCACAGCTGCAGATTAAAATGGTTATCATCAGGACTAAAGCATGAGCAAGCTACCAACTAACACATATTCATAAGCTTAAAATGTTTAGCAGCTTTATCATGATTTAAGTTTTAATTTCCCTTAGTATAGCCATTAATAAGAATAGAAAATATTACAAGTAAAAACTGCTTTAGGAGAGTTGAGCTTATTTAAGATACACAACATAATGTACCTAAACACACCTGTCAACTTAAATATTAGGGCTCTTTAGAGTACTATGATACTTACAACAAAATCACAAATTCAACTATTCCCCAGAAGAAGTCTGTTATCAAAGATAATCTCCACGGGGACTGACTCCGGCTATCCAATACTTGTCCTATAGACAAAAACAAAAAAGTTTTTAATGCCACAAATCCCTGACACAAGATGTATTACGTTTAACTACACAGGCAACAATCATAGACACAGGTTTCAACCTGTTCTGTGTTCCAAATGGTCAACACAAGTTAAGGCCTAATATATGCCATTATGCTAAGGAAATTTTCAGGGATGTAAAGCTCTATGATCTAGAGGCCATTCCATTAATACATCAAATGACTACCTACAGTTTCTAATTTTGATGGGTAACTTCAAGTATTTTGAGGACACTAATGGGGTGGGTAGGAGCTCTGGTAGCGTAGTACCTAAGGCACTTGACTGCTAGCCAGAAAGCTGGTGGTTCAAACCCACCGGCAACTCCTCGGAAGGAAGGTTGGGCAATCTACCTCCGTAGTGATACCACCTCGGAAACCTAAGGAGGATTCGCTATGAGTTGGGCCTGACTCAATGGCAAATAACAACAACGAGGTGGGTAAGTATAAAGAAATATTCATACTACCTACATTTTCTACATGTGTTCAGAGGATTTATTTTCACTGGCAAAGTCTCTTGCCTATATAAAAAGATTGTTTATATACACTTTATGAATTTTTGGAATCAGTTATTATAAAATTTTTATAAATCAAAGCATGCATGTGCTCTAAATATTGAAGAGAATTGTCGTTCCTCTTAAATGACCACCATTCTCTACAACTGGACGATCTTGATTCTAATTACAGACTTCAATTTTATTTTAAGGAAAGCTGGATCTAATTTTCAAAATTCTTGAAATAACAGAAACTAAACAGGAACAGTGAGTACTCTAGTGTTTCAGGAGGTCAGAATACTTTGAAGGAAGAACAGCTGTCTGTCAACCGCTTTTCCTCTCCATTATCTCAACACTTCACCATGCTCAGTTCCATACACACACACACAACCTCTCCTGCCTGTTTAACTTTTTCTCTCCTTGACCAGTTTACTTTCAAGTATCTACGTAGATCTCAGGTCTCTGCTATTTAACACAAGGGACCTCATACAAGTCAGAAGTTGGGTGGTAGGCTTGGTTTTGTCACGTGCTACCTCTGCTTCTTTAGAGTGATAGGACATTTTCTTTCTGTGTGAGAAGTTATTCCAGATTTGCCATCACATTCTTTGTAGAAAAAAATTATTTAGATCACAAGAGAAATATTCTGTCAACTATGAAGTACAGATTGACACAGTTCTTCTATTTAAACAAATGGATCTAATTATAAACCGTCAATTCTTCCTTTGTGATTCTTAGGGGGGGAAAAAAGTTGCCTTTGATTTGGCTCCAATTCATAGAAATCTCATGTGTGTGAGAGCAGAACTGTGCTCCATGGGGTTTTCAATGGCAGACTTTCTCAGCAGTAGACAGACAAGCCTTTCTTCTGAGTTGCCTCTGGGGAGACTCAAACTTCCTATTATATTCACTTGCATCATTCTATCTTGCTCTTTGCACTTCTTCCCCTGTCTCCTGAAGGCAGACCATGCGCTCCCAATCCCCAACATATTCCTAGTAGGAGATATGGTGCTTGACTACAATAAACATTTCTCAACTTTAAAAGAGAGATAAAAGGTCCTAACAATATTTATGTGGAACAAACTCAACAATGCATACTTAAGACACCACATATGAAAACACAAAAACTGAAGTCTGCTCAAGTACCCAAAACCACATTAAAATTCTGATGCTTCTCTTCAGTGACTATCAACCTTCTACAAAGCTTTCTAAATGGAAGATAAGAAGGTGTGAATGCAAGGAGATGTTGAAGAGTGAAAAAAAGCAAAGCACTCATGTGGAGTTGGAACCCACCAGCCACTCCACAGGAGAAAGATGTCAGTCTGCTTCCATAAAGATTACAGCTTTGGAAACCTTATGGAGCAGTTCTACTCTGTCTTACACAGTCCTGACATCAGTGGGTTTGGGTTCTTTGTGTGGTAGGTAACAGCAATAACTCTGAAGCTAGCCTACACAGGTTTGAATATCCACTGTGTCATTAAGTTTGGGACCCTGGGAAAGCTACTTAATCTCTCTGAGCCTCAGTTTTGACACACATATAACAGGTAAAATAAATATATCACCTGAATACTGCTGTTGTAAAGACTACAAAACCAAAAAAAACCCCAACTCACTGCAGTGGAGTCCATTTGACTCATAGCGACCCCTGCTTGGGTTTCTGAGGTGGTATTTCTAGGGAAGTAGATTGCCCAATCTTCCTTCCCAGGAGTGGCTGGTGGGTTTGAACCGCCAGCTTTCTAGTTAGTAGTCAAATGCCTTAGGCACTACACCACCAGAGCTCCTGCAAGAGTCTAAAAAAAAAAAATCCAAAACCAAACTTACTGCCATAGAGTGGATTCCTACTCACAGCGACCCCTATTGGATTTGCCAAGGCCATAAATCTTTACGGAAGCAGACTGCCTCATCTTTCTTCCGTGGAGCGGCTACTGGGTTCGAGCCACCAACCTTTATAGTTATCAGCCAAATACTTTAACCACTGCACTATCAGAATTCCTTACTAGAGCCTACGCGTTATGTACATGATAATTTGGTTGTCATTATGAGTTAAGAACACGTACAATTTGAAAGGTACACGAATTTTCGAAAGATCATCGCTGGGGTCGCAATGCTTGGCGTTAAGCCTGCGGAAGCGTAGTCACGCCGAGGGCCTCCAAACCTGCTCGCCCGGTAAGGGACAGTCAGCGGACGAGCCGCGGGCCAAGGCGACTTCCCATCCGGCACCACCAGGCCGCAAAGCCCAGGGAAACTGGGAAAGGCGCTTGGCTCGATGGGGGAGGGTAAAGCAAACTCGGCCTTCGGCCTCCCAAGTCACTCCTGCAGCTCCTCGAACTTACCGTTCGAGATGTAAACCATCTTTTCTGTCGTTCCTCGCTTCCGGAGCGACTGAAGCGTTAGGTCTCGCTCGGTTTCCGTATCGACCTCCGCGCCCCTCCCCCGAAACGTCACAGAACACGATTAGGAAAACAGCGATGGAGGGAGGAGGTGGATAGACCCCATTGGCTGCTGGAAAAGACATGAGCTGTACGGGCGTTTTGCCTCGTCACGCCAACGACTTAAGTTAGAGAAGGGGAATGTCGGGCAGGTGACCGGATATGACGGTTAGGTGTCGTCTTGTAAGTGCGCCACTCCGTGACTGTGTCCTTATTGGAATCTGGGGAGATAGTTTGCATAGCCTGGTGAGGAAAAGCCGCATTTTAATTGTTTTAATAGGCCCAGAGTCGAAGTTAGGTAAGGCAGTTGTTGTTAGGTGCCCTGGAATCGGTTCCTACTCATAGCTACCGTATGTACAACTGAAGGAAACACTGCCCAGTCTTGCGCCATCTTCACAGTCAGGTGTTGGAGCCCCTTATGCAGCCACTGTGTCTGTCCATTACCTTCAGGGTCTTCCTCTTTTTCACTGACCCTCTACCAAGCATGATGTCCTTCTCCAGGGACTAGTCCCTCCTGATAACGTGACCCTATGGTATATATTTAATATCTGCGAACACCGTAATTCAAATGCATCAGTTTTTCTCCTCTTCCTTATTATCTAGCTTTCGCATACATAGGAAGCAATTGAAGATACCATGGCTTGAATCAAGCACGCATTAATCCTCAAGGTGACAGCTGTCTTTGCTTTTTAACATTTTAAACAGGTTTTTTGAAGGTTTGCCCACTGCAATATGTTGTTTTGATTTCTTAACTGCTACTTCCTCGGATGTTGATTGTCGATCCAAGTAAAAGGAAACGCTTAACAACTTCATTGTTTTCTCTGTTTATCATGATGTTGCTTATTCGTCCAGTTTTGAAGATTTTAATTTTATGTTGAGATGTACTCCATACTGAAGACTGTAGTCTTTTATCATCAGTAAGTGCTTCAAGTCCTCTGCTTTCAGCAAAAGCAGTATGTTGTTTGCATATAGCAGATTGTTAATGAATCTTCCTTCAACCCTGATGCCACGTTCTTCTTCCTATAGTCCAGTTTCTCAGGTTATTTGCTCAGCATACAGACTGACTAAATTTGATGGAAGGATACAATCCTGACACACTCCCTTCTTGATTTTAAACCATGCAGTATACCCTTGTTCTCTTGGAACAACTGCCTCTTGGTCTGTGTACAGGTTCCTCATGAGCATGTTAAGAGTTTTGGAATTCCCATTCTTCTCAGTGTTGCCCATAATTTGTTATGACCCACACAATCTAATGCTTTTGTATAGTTAGTAAAACACAGGTAAACATCTTTCTGGTATTCTTTGCCTTGAGCCAAGATCCATCTGACATCAGCAATGATAAACCTCATTCCATGACCTCTTCTGTATCTGGCTTGGATTCCTGAAAGTTCTTTGTTCATGTACTGCTGCAACTGTTTTTTAATTACATTTGGCAAAATTTTACTTACATGTAATACTAATGATACAGTTTGATAACTCCCACATTGTGTTGGATCACCTTTCTTTGGAATGGGCACAAATTTGTATCTCTTACAGTTGGTTGGTCAGGTATTTTACATTTTTCGACATAGACTAGTGAGTGCTGCTAGCATCATATTCATTTGTTGAAACATATCCACTGGTTTTCTGTCAGTTCCTGGAAACTTGTTTTTGCTGATGCCTTCACTGCAGCTGCAACTTTTCCCTTCAGTATCATTGGTTATTGATGATATGCTATCTCCTGAAATGATTGAACATCAACCATTTCTTCTTGGTATACTGACTTTCCATCTTTTTTTGATGCTTCCTGCATCATTCAATATTTTGCCTATAGAATTCTTCATTATTGCAACTGAGGCTTGAATTTTTTCTTCTATTCTTTCAGCTTTAGAAATGCTGAGTGTGTTCCTCCCTTTTGAGTTTCTAATTCCAGGTTGTTGCACATTTCATTATAATACTTTGTCTTCTCCAGCTGCTTTTGGAATCTTCTGTTCAGCTTTTACTTCATTTCTTCCATTCACTTTGTTGTTGTTGTTAGGTACCGTCGAGATGTCTCCAACTCACAGCGACCTCATGTACAGCAGAACGAAACACTGCTTGATCCTGTGCCAGCCCCACGATCTTTGCTACACCTGAGCCCGTCGTTGCAACCACTATGTCATTGAGGGCCTTCCCCTTTTTTTCTGTCCCTCCACTTTGCCGAGTATGATATCCTTCTCCAGGGAATGATCCCTTCTTACAACATGACCAAAGTAAGTGAGATGAAGTTTGGCCATTCTTGCTTCCAAGCAACATTCTGGGTGCACTTCTTCCAGAAAAGATTTGTTAGTTCTTTTAGCAGCCCATGGTACTTTCAGCATTCTTTGCCAACACCACAACTCAAAAGCATCGACTCTACTTCGGTTTTCCTTTTTTATTGTCCAGCTCTTACATGTATATGAGGAAATTGAAAATACCATGACTTGTGTCAAGCGCACCTTAGTCTTCAAGGAAACACCTTTGCTCTTCAGCATTTGAAAGAGGTCTTTTGCAGCAAATTTGCCTCATGCTATACGATGTCTGATATCTTGACTGCTGCTTCCATTAGTCTTAATTGTAGAACAAGTAATATGAAGTCTTTGACAACTTCAATCTTTTCTCCATTGATCTTGATGCTACTTGTTGGTCCCCTTGTGAGGATTTTTGTTTTCTTTATTTTGAGGTGTAATCCATAATGAAGACTGTAGTTTCAGTCTTCATCAGTAAGTGTTTCAAGTTATCCTTATTTTCAATGAGCAAAGTTGTGTCGTCTGCATAACACAGGTTGTTAATGAGTTGTAGGTTGTTAATGAGTCTTCCTCCAATCCTGATGTCACATTCTTCTTTATATAGTTCAGCTTCTGGGATTATTTGTTCAGCATACAAATTGAATAAGTATGGTGAAAGGATACAACCCTGACACATACTCTTATTGATATTAAACCATGAAGTATCCCCTTGCTCTGTTCAAATGACAGTCTCCTGGTCTATGTACAAGTTCCTCATGAGCACAATTAAGTGTTCTGAAATTCCCATTCTTCTCAATGTTACCCATAATTTGTTATGATCCACACAATCAAATGCTTTTGCATAGTCAATAAAACACAAGTAAACATCTTTTTTATACTTTTTGCTTTCAGCCAAGATCCATCTGACTTCAGCAACGATATCCCTCTTTTGAATCCAGCTTGTATTTCTGGAAGTTCTGTGTCACTATACTGCTGTAACCATTTTTTAATTATCCTTAGTAAGATTTTACTTGCATGCAATATTAATGATATTGTTAGATAATTTCCACATTCTGTGGGATCACCTTTCTTTGGAAAGGGTACAAATACAGATCTCTTCTAGTCAATTGGCCAGGTAGTTGTCTTCCAAATCTCCTGGCATAGTTGAGTTGAAATTCAGGAGAGATATAATCAAGATCATATTTTGGTTCTAGTGGAGTTGTTTTAATTGTCTTCAACTTCAGCTTGAACTTGCAAATGGGCAGTTGATGGTATGTTTTGGCTGGTGATAGTGAGCTTTTCCAAGACCTCTTTCCACAGATGTAGTCAGTTTGATTCCTGTGTACTCCATCTGGTGAAGTCCATGTGTAGGGCCACCGTTTGTGTTGTTGAAAAAAAGGTATTTGCAACGAATAAGTCGTTGGTCTTGCAAAGTTCTATCATGTGATCTCCAGTATTATTTCTATCACCAAGGCCAAATTTTCCAACCACCTGTGATTCTTCTTTGTTTCCAACTTTTGGATTCCAATCACCAGTGATAATCAGCACATCTTTATTGTATGTTCAGTCGATTTCAGACTACAGAAGTTGGTAAAAATCTTCAATTTCTTCATCTTTGGCTTTCGTGGTTGGTGTGTAAATTTTAGTAATAGTAGTAGTAACTGGCTTTCCTTGTAGGCATATGGATATTATTTTATTACTGACAGCATTGTACTTCAGGGTAGATCTTGAAACATTCTTTGTGACGATAAATGTCTCGCCATTCCTCTTTAATTTGTCATTTCCAGCATAGTAGATCATATGGTTAACTGACTCAAAGTGGCCAAAACTGGTCCATTTCAGGTCACTAATGCCTAGAATATCAATCTTTATGTGTTCCATTTCATTTTTGACAACTTCCAATTTTCCTGGTTTCATACTTCGCAGATTCTATGTTCCAGTTATCAGTAGATATTTGCAGCTGTTTCTTCTCATATTGAGTCATGCTGCTTCAGCAAAGGGAGGCCCTAAAAGCTCTACTTTCTTCATATCATTAAGGTAGGCTCTACTCTGATGAGGCAGCTCTTTCTCAGTCATATTTTGAGTGTCTTCCAACCTGAGGGGCTCATCTTCTGGCACTGTACTGGACAGTGTTTCAGGGCTATTCATAAAATTTTCCAAAAATATATCAGACAGTGTTTCACTACTATTCATAAGGTTTGCACTGGCCAATTCTTTGAGAAGTGGATGGCCTCTTCTTTCTTCCAAATCTATCGCAGTCTGGAAGCTCCACCGAAACCGGTCCCCCTTGGGCATTCCTGCTGGCACAGCCTTCAGCCTCACAGCTACACACAAACCATCACAGTATGACAAAGTGACAGACAAGTTCATCTCCCTTAGCTGTTCCGACTGCTCTGCTCACTTCCTGGGCTTCCCCCTACCTGTTCCTGCTGGCCCTGTCTGCCACTGCTCCCTGCTACCTGGGGGCTGTCCCCTGCCCTCCTTACCTTTTCCAGCTGCCGGCCCTGTTCACTGTAACTACTCCATGTTCAGTAGTAAGTTTCAGAGTCTCTTTTGACATCAAGTTGGTATTTTCTTTCTTTCTGTCTTTTTAATGACCTTTTGCTTTCTTCATGTGTGATGTCCTTGATGTTAGACCACAACTCATCTGGCCTTTGGTCATTAATCTTCACTTTGTCAAATCTGTTCTTCAGATGGTTTTTAAATTCAGGTGGGGTTATACTCAAGGTTGTACTCTGGCTTTTGTAGACTTATTTTAGTT